TAGGGAGCAGGACGGGGAGGACGGGGTTGGACACAGGCAGCGGAAATCCCCACTGCAGGGCACTCTGCGGGTGAGGGCGGGAGGCAGCCCACGCTGGGACACACGGAGACAAGCCACTGTCCCTTCAGCCCACTCCAGCTGTGGAGTTGGTCCCTCCCGATAACGGAAACGTGCCACCACCATGCACCCAGCAACCCGCTCCAAGGTCAGGCGGTAGAAAGGAGTTATTTCTAAGCACATAATGAAATGCAGGAGTGTAGATTGTTGCGGCCTCACACCAATACGAAGTGGTGCAGATTTATACCTGGTGACACCCGATGCGTTTTGAGGCACTAATCAAGTTCTGTACAGAAGACAACTATTTACACTTCCCCAAGCCCCTGGCTATGAAGTCACTTCGTCTCCCCCTGCCTAATAAACGTGTGTGTAGAGGCTGCAGTTCAGCATCAGCAAAGCCTGGACGTCACCAAGACAAAAACCAAGCCCCAGTTCCTGTCCCGCGCCACTGCTGTTCGTGGCCTGCCCTTGCGTAAGGAAGGAGGTGCAGCACCCACCCTCAGTCGTGTTGTACGCATCTTACTACGGAGGAACAGTGCTGCTGCTGCGGCACCCCGGGCTGTAATTTAGTTTGTCGGAAGCAGATGGCTTGTACAGCAGGAGATGCTTGGTTTTACTACATCTGTAGTAAAGCAAGAGCTAGCGATGCTGCCATGAGCAGCAGCTGCAGCAACCTTTCCAGCTTCTGCCAGAAAGGTAAAGGCATACCAAGGAGTTTGAAACAGGGCTACCATGCCTACAGCACGCACCTTACCTGGTCTTGTTTGTGTATTTGAAATACTACTGGTTTTCTCCAAAATGAAACTTGCCAAATGTGAGCATTTGACGCTAAGACACCATGCAAAGTTGGCTATCAATGTTTATTCGCGTCACGTGGAAAGCTGTACTCCAGAGAAGAGAAACACCAGACTGTGAACATACCTACAGAGAGTCCAGGGAAACAACACAAGCTTTTCAGACATCTCTGCAGCAGTTGAACGTCTGATGTTCCTCTGAAGTTCTTCCCCTACATAAAATCATCTCCAGTTTCAGCGCATTGTTAATGATTAACTGACTGATCCCAAATATTAAAAACCCCTTAAGTTGTAGATAGTGCTACTGTTGATCTGGATTGACTGTAAAAAAAGGCAAAAGACAACCTCCTGGTTTTGACTTGCAAAAGCAGATACTATGAACATATCATAATATCCAGCCTCCCCACTCCAGCACCTGCACAGGTTATGTCTTACCTACTCAAACAATACAAACTATATCCAAACCGTATGCATAAGCCAGTCATTCTTACAAGCACAGTCAAGGGTATCACAGTAAAAGAAGGTCATGGTTTCTACAGAGACCTCTAAAAGCCTCGGCAAAAGAGCAGCGTTAAATAACAGTGACAGGAAGAGCACCGCCGCGTCAGGTGTGAGGGTGGAGGAGATGGTGAGACTCTGTATAACCAGAGATGCATCTTTTCCAGGTGAACCTCCACAGCATGGCAGTGTAGTCTGAGAAGAGGCAGGAGGATGGGACAGGAGAGGATCATTCAGCCTGGCAACAGCGTTTGCTCCTGCTCAATTCTTCCTTTGATCCTGGAAAACTTAGGTTGGCTCTCTCATTCACCCACAAAACAGGGCATCATAACGACAGAGTAAGGACCTAAATACTCTGCTAATACCATCAAGATTTTCAGACTAAAGACAACAAATAATACTGTAAGTTGAGGCAAGTTTTATTTAGACTGTACAAACAGGGCACTGGGAAAAAAAAAAAACCAAACCAAACTGTGGCTTGATGTTTGGACCAGTTCTATGAAGTAAGTGGAGTAAGAAATTAAAAAGGCACTAATCTTAAGAAAAGACACTCCATGTATTCTAAGAATATAATTCATTTAATACTGTTAATCTTATAGCACAAAAAATAAACCAAGCTATAATCCCCAAAATAAACTTTAAAAGCTTACACTTAATATTATTGCCTAAAGATCATGGTCTTTAAATTACATCTTGTGTTTTAAAGTTTACACAGTGAAGACTGTCTCAAATACAAGGCCACCTTTCCCACTGCAGTAATTGTATCCTTGTCCCAAAACACACTTTCATTTAACACAAGTAAACAGAAAATGACAACTACACAAGAATGCTTCCACTGGTCACAAAAGGCAGTCTTTTAGGCAGGTCTTACCTTCAAATGCAAATATTGAGGAAAACGCTTGAAAACTTGACTAGAAAACAAAGGCAGCCCACTCGTTCCCAGGATGTTAATACAATATAAAAAAATTACTTTACAGGCACATGAAATGGCACGAAGAATGCTGTTTTTCCCTTTACAAAAATAATGCTCAGGCTCTTCAGAGCCCCAACCCAAACAGGATATTCCCTTTTGTTTATTCTTTCCCAATTTGTAAACAATAATGAATTAAATTAGCGCTTATCCAGTGACGGACACTGATTAAACCAGTTTTCATTTAAACTTTCAGACTGGTCAGAGGCTTCAATGTCTATATACACATGTACACAACAGGAGGAAGTCAAACAGTAAGCCTTTCATGATAGTTAACTATTGTGGCACCAGGTAATTAAACCAGCTCCTAGTTCAAAAGCAAGAACAGCTTTAATGGTGCACAGATTGAAGCCATCACTTGTAGGCTCTCATGCTTCATATTAAGTATACCTTACACGCCCAAGGAACATTTACAATGATAGGTTATCACTCAAATTTAAGAGGCTTCATAAAGCAACAGACAGCACACATGTAAGCAAGCAACAAGCAACAGAGAATCCAGAGTCCTTCAAAGAGAAACACAAACTGATCAAATGCGGTTTTTATAAGAAAATACACGTCTCATAGTAAAATAGCAAAGACACGTTTTGAAGCAAGGTTACAATCAGCGTAGGCTGCTCAGTATGCTACATTTAAACCACATTTAACATACCTGAACCACACCGCTGCTACTCAGAGAAACACTGTTCATCCGTGGCCTAAAACCAGGTTCACAGCAATTTAAGAATTCTTGTCTTCGCATCAGATGCCACTACACACAAATTTTGCATAGTTTTGAAGGTAAAATATTTTGCTTTTCTGCAGTATCAGAACATAATTAAACCTAAAACAATGCTTGTGTTCAAAGTGTATACCTTATTCAATAAGGGGATGAGTCCAGACCTTTATTTCAGTGAAAAAACAATTAGGTCAAAAGCTGTGTTCAGGATCTCAAATCTCACAGTATTTATTTATCATGCAAAGGCAGAATTCTACAATCAGTCTTCTGAAGAGCTGCCTGTAACTAGGTCAGGTCTGAAATAAGATTTCTCTGCAGCAGACTGAGTTTAGTGCAGTTTCTGTATTCAAAAGATGACTTTCAGTGGTACAATCTATGGAGTAAACTTACAGGTATAGTTGGGGCACAGAAAAAGCACGACCTTCTTTAGTTAAGAGAGCTGCATAGCTTTTCTTTGCAAGACAAAATGTCAATGCCTATTGTCAAGAATTACTCCTACAGCACCAAACACTTCAGTCAATGCTACTCCACGGTTAATTTGGTAGTAAAATGCTCTACAAGAACTTCTAGACTGCCAGCCACTTCATCACTACTACAGAAAACAGCTAACAGATGAACAGACAGACTTCTTTAAAAACCCCGCCGTTTTGAATGTCTCATTGCAAATGCAATTTCTGCATTTCTTCAGTACCTTCCAGTGAAGGATCTCATGGCGCTTTTACATGAGCTAAGAACAACGTGCTTTTATTAGGATCAAGCAACACAAATCAACAAGAAAACATGCTGGAACTTAAGACAACAATTTTTATATCATTTGACATTTATAAGAACTGGTGAGATTCTGTAGGAGTCTGAAGTTTCTCATTTTGCTGCAAATGACATCCTTCAAAAGCTGAAAAATGGGGGCTGCTGTTTTCCTGTCAGCTTCTACAACAGCCATTTTTTCTTTAACCAGGCTGTCTGAGAAGGGAGGGCTTGTAGTTGTAGTCTTTGCAGATGCCTATTCTGTTAATTCAGTGTTCAATTATTTTTAAAAGAGCATTCCAGTTCACCTACAAAACACATTTAAAGAAGGTGGCACATGATACCACTGTACCTAAGCTTTCATATCCTGTACACAGGCTAAGGACTTAACCTGCGTGGCCTGAATTGTACTCATTTAGCTGCAGCTATATCATTCCCTACTGTAAGTACAGTTACAGCAGTATAGCTTATGTACAGAAAAAGGGAAAGAAGCTATACTGATACTAGACACACTTGTGGCTTCCTCCAGCCTGAGCATTAATTTATCACATGGGGAAACCCAGGCAGCTGACTCCAATTAACCATTTTCTAGAGGATGCTGGGAAGGGGAGGGATCTGGGGCATATATAAACCAGAGCCAACTCAGCTAGAAGGGTAAGAAAAGATAGCAGCATGCAGAGGACTTGGGGTATGAGCAAGGAAAAAGAGGGAGGCAAAAAAGAAGATGAAAGCAGCTCTGGAAAAGAAGCATAGCAACATGGAGGCACCCTAGAAAAAAGGTACTGTGTTTTGAAAAGTAGCTTTCAACAATCTGGGGCTAGCATAGCTAGGAAACTTTGGAGAGATAAAGGAGCCTGCAGAGAAATGGGTATAAGATGTGTATGTTTAAATAAGAGGATTTTATCAGTATTGACCAAGTTCTTCTGTTCCGCTCCTTTCTTATCTTGCCACACCATGGCAATCTGATCAGCCTGTCTACCAAGTAACAGCCTGGTGACAAGCACCTCTACACCAGTAAAACTACACTTTCAACACTACAGAAGAGCTGTATGGAGACCAGGCCAAAGTGTTTCCCTTTAAAGCTCACTTTCTGGAGTTAGTGCTTGCAAAAAAATCAATAGAAATATGTTAAGTATGTCAAAAACAGGTTACAAGTATCAACCCCTCCTAAGTTTCCTTATAAATAAATGCCTCAGCATCAATGCAGCTCAAGCAATGGTTATTTGCATTTAACACACACTGTTTCAGGAAGGTCAACCACAAGCTGACGAGTTAACAGGAAAGAGCAGCCTCTAATTCAGCTGCTTAGAATACCTAAGCTTCAATTATTGTCCTTTAAAGAGACCATAATTTTAAATGTACTACCTTAGGACAGGTTCTCTTAAAACTAAGTTGTCCTCAGTCCTAAAATTGCATTTTTATTGTTGCTTTTTGTTGGACAGTGATGCACAAGTTGCATGTTTGATCTAAGATTAGGGCTCTTCCTACTGAGCAAGCCAGAAAAGGTCCATCAAAGTCTCAACAGGAAAGGTTTTCTTCCCATACTTCTCTGCTATATCCTAGTTCAGTCTTCTCCAGCCTAAGGCTCAATAGAGTTTTAAAAGTGAAACTAAATTCTGGATGATGCAACTATGGTACGAAGGTCAGGCAGTGACTTCAGTTGTATGTATTCCAAATGTACATTAAAAGAACTGTCAAACTGCAGCAAGCTGGAAAATGGGCAATGCTAGCAATGTGCCATTAAGTCATCATCCCACCTCAAACAATGCTAATGATAGCCACAAAAATGAAGCAGCAGTATAAATCAGGCAGAAGGAATCATTCATTCTCATCTGGGTTTTGAGGGTCAAATATTTTGACATGCGTGAATGGGAAGAGCCCTTTTCGACCGTTGACTTCTCCTTCCCACTGACCGTTTATGTTCATCCTTGTAACCTTCACAATATCTCCAACCTGCATAATTCAAAAAAAGGAAAAAAGTGATCATAGATGGGAATCTCACCTCTGATACAAATACAAATCAAATGAAGAGGAACAACAAATGCAAGCCCATAACAGGGAAAAAAAACACACCCTCTTTTTGGCATAAGGTTCAACTGAAAAGTTACTTAACTAAAACACTAACATTTTGCTGCTAAACACGACAACGTTTTCTGCACTCTTTTTCAGACTCTTGACTAAATGTGTATTTACATATTCGGATAAATTGCTGAACTACACCTTTTCCTATAGCAAAGCTTACAACTTCATGCGACAATACATTTAGCTTGGATATAAATAAACATCACTAAAGCTACCATCAGTAATGAGATGCAATATCTACTCAAAAGAGCACAGTACTCATATTGGTTTTGGCATCAGCTGGTTTATTTCAAAGGAAATTAGGTTTTTAAAGAGCAAAGGAATCACTACTTGAAGTTCTAGTTCTGATTATCAGTCTAAGAGGCTTCTGTAGTTTCTAACATAATGGTACACTTTTGAAGGACGCAAAAGCAATCTCAAACTTTTTTTAAAGTATTAGATGTACAGATTCTAGCTTTATTTCTTGTTTTCACCTCTACTTCCTGCCAAAGAATTTGAAATAGGAACAACGATGTGTCAGGCCTTTCCTACCATAACTGTGTGTCTTCCTATTTGGTGGTGAAAGATGAGAAGAGCTAAACTACGATCAAGGAAGAAACATCAGCTGAAATGATGATAAGCTATACTCTTATCATTGTTCAATGGCTGGATTTAATTTCAATTAGGGTAATTTACAAAGCAAAATATCTAATGTGACAAGCAGCATTTAGGACTGGCTACATAGTCATTTCTCCCTTAAATGCTTCTAGAATAGCTGAACATGTGGTCTGTTGCAGCAGCTCTCAACTTTACACCTCCCTTCCTGTTTACTTCATTTACTCTATGTGATTAACTAGTAAATATCAGAAAAGTGACATTAGCAGCTAATAACTAATTTCACAAAAAGTAGAACCAGCATCTGACCAATGGCAAACAGCTCCTAAGTTTCTTCCCTAAACAAGGTCCAAGCTCTTTGCAGTTGACTAAAAAAAAAAAAAGTCACTCCTGTGAAATCCAAAGCTAACTCGCTTTGATCTTCTTATTTAAGGAAAAACTACATTTTAGTCCTGATACAGTATGTATAACAATTTGTCTACATTGTCTAAATAGTATTAAAATTTATAACTGATGCAAATAGTTTAAGGACTTTGGCCAAGAGCCTTAGATTAAAACTATTCAACAGACAATTTTCCATTAAAGACAGAAACCCTGTGCTGACAAAATAATATGCATGTCACTAGATGTTCTGAAGCCTGTTTAAACCAGTTACCATTACTCCACTAGATACTTTTTGAAGATCACTCGGAAGCAAGAACCCTGAAGTTTAAGATACTAGAATAAACTCCTTGGCAGTCACTCAGTGTTATAGCTCTTAAAATAAAATTTTTCAAACTTTGAGACTCTTTATTAGAGATTTAAGCTTTATGTTGCATATTAGAAGTAAATCAGACATTTAAGCAAAATGTGTTACTCCTCCTCCCCTCCTTTTTCTCCACTACTTGTAGGGTTATCTGTGTCCTGTCTGCCCCCCTCCCCCCCAAGTTCGAGACTGTCACGCTTGGAACAACTGTAATCTTGTGCTTTTAAAAAAGGTTCTCAACTCCCAGAAGTTCTTGGGATACAACCGAGACCATATTACTTTCTTAAATGAACATCTTTTCTTACGCTGTTCTTAAACTCAAACACGAAGCCAGCATATACTGTTAAGTAGATATACACTGCCCATGATAGCACACATATATGGTATTAATTTGACTGGTTTTCATCTCTTCATGGATTACTGCAGCATGCTTTAATTGTGTGTTTGCTAAAAACACAATTTGTCAGACTTTTCACTGAATCCAAAGGCTAGAGAAAATTTTACATAGTAACAAGACGACCTAAACAGGAACCTAACAAATGTCTCTTTAGGAAAAGGCTGATAACATCTATAAATACTCAGTGTTACATTGCTAGACTTAAGTAACTCTTGAAGACTGATCAAAGTTTTAGACCCAATTTCATGAAGATGCAGCTAATATCACAACAGTTAAAACCTAGTAAGAAGCTGCATTTGCACCACACCATAAAACCAATCCACTCTCAAACACATTAATCTTATTCCTGGAAGAAAAAAATAACCTGTAGTATACTGGATCAAAAACATGGACTTGCATGTTCTGAGTCTGACAATTTAATTCTGCTCACGTGCTGTAGAGATCAAGCCATTATTCATTTTGAGGCTCTAGGAAAAGATATCCTTCAATTTGACTCTGATTTCTACAACATGAATAGGTTTGCCAGTCTTGCTTCAGCTGAGTGGGGAAAAAAAGTGTGTTTGTGATGTAAGTCTATTGCATTGCAACAAACTGCCATGTAGACTAACAACGTAAAATATTCTTTAGACTGCTGGGAGAGCAAAGTTGCTACAAATAAGTCTCTGCCATTAAACAGTGCTAGCTGACAAAAACTACGCAAAAAATACTCCCGTATGTCAAGAACCACTGCAACAGTAAATTGATTTGTAATAACAATCACATTATTTTTGGGTAACTTTTTAAATGAAACCTTCTGAATATCCTCTTGTGCTATATCATTAAAAAAAAAAATGCAGTTCCCCTCAGAAGAGTAAATGAAACCACACACTGAAACAGGATTTTTGGAAAAGGAACACTGATGTCATGATAGAATAATTCATGGATATTATGTTAAAGACCTCCATTTTGACAATGTCTAGAAGAATCTGGTCAAGTAGTCCCTTTATTTCTTCCCAAAGCACAAACTAAAAGCAGTATTTTGTTAATGCTTTCTAAAGCATCTATAATATGGTCAGCTGAGGTGTGATCTCCCACTACAATTATTTAACACAGTATTTTTTCAGAGAACATTTTAAGCCAGTCAGAAGGACTGTCTTATGATTAGGCACAGGACAGAGTCAGGAGACATGGTTGTATTCTCATCTCTGCCACAAACTTCCTGTATGACTCTGGACAGCTCATCGCCCTTATCTATAAATTAGGATAATACTTCCTTAGTCTCAGCATCTCTCAGATAAGTTAATTCACTTGTAAAACATGCCAGCATCACTGGATGGAAGTATCAACTGCTGAAATGAGTAACAGTTCTGAAATGCAGCCATTTGGTTCCACCCAAATGATAAAAATCAGAACGTATTTTAGGTAGCATCCTTTCATTATGTCCCTGTTACAGCATGAATTCAAAGCCCTGGGGAAACACAAGCTGTGGAACATGCCAGTCAGAAAGGTTACTTCATTCACTCTAGACTCTTCCATCTGAAGCTGATTCATACACTGCAAAAGGTTTCCTGCATGCCATTTTAGTCACACAGTCAACCAATTCAACGTATTTTACAAATATTCCAATAATTGTATGTTAATAGTTCTATGGCTGATAGAGTTCTGTAATATAAGTTTAAGGAGACAAAAAATCATTAAAACTCTAGATCATCATTTTAGCCCACTGGGTCAATAGATATAGAAAACATCGCTCTCTGGAATTTACGGGGTGTTGAATCTCAGTCATTATCCTACTTAGTGTTACAACTTGTCTTCTTTGGTAACACTAGCATTAGCACCAAAAGCTAAACAATTGTTCACACCAGTTGCCTGTTCTGGAGAAGAACAGACAAGGCTCAACACCAAGAAATTACTTGATATCCCATTGTCCCCAAAAGGTACAAAGCTGCACTACACAAGAGGCAGAGTTCAGCTGCAATGCAAATAGGACCAAGGGACACTGAAGTAGGTGGTGATTTATGTATTGGAAGATTCAAGAAACCAACAGGCTGAAAGCACAGCTTAATTATCTTTCACTTCTGATGCTGTGTGCCAGAAGAATAATAGTTGATGCCTAAACCAGAGAATCAAGTAGTTCAGAGAGAAGACCTTCAACCATTCTTGAGACGTGAAAGCAGGTCAAAGAGCAGCACAGAAATGTTGAAGTCCTAAATGCAATAATCTAGCCTCCTATAGGAATGGAGTAAAACAACAGAAGTTTGCATTTCAAGTATACCAATTGCCAGAGCTGGGGTTGCAGCACCAAAGTGCTGCTTTTCACTAAATAATGGTAGCCTGTCTCCATCTGATTAAGCCAGCTGTGACAATTGTACAGAATTTGGAGAGCTCAAAACTCCCACAGACCATCACTCTTGAACCACACCAAATCTCACTGTAGCACAGCATCTTGTCTCCATTATCCATGTCATTTTCAGTTTCATCTGAAAACAAACTCTGCAACCAGTTCTGAGGGTGAATGTATAGTAAATAGTGAGGCACTCAGCACTATCATGATGGGAACCAGTAACTTTGACTGGAGAAGGAAGTTACAAAGATTAAGATTGCACAGAAAATCTCCAAAGTAATTGTCAGTTGTATTTTCAAAGGCAGGATACCAAAAAGTTGGTGTATGTCAGCACAGACATAGGAATCCTGCTGCCAATGTCACTTTCAATTCAATAGTTACCAGAACTAAAGCTCCCTGATCACTGCTTCACACTACACAAGTACAGGCTCAATATTTTGCTTAAAATCTAGGCCTTGTAGGTTAGATGCATTTAATGTTTAACACAGCAATACTGAGTTTCCTTGGCTAAGAAAAGCACAATGTTTGTTGTCTAGTGAAAGAAGTAGCCTAATTTCCCAATTAAGAAAGTTCTACTACTAGCACATTTTGGCCTACTTGTCTCAACTTGCCTTTGAAAAGGAAAAAAGTTAACTGTAACCTAATTGTAACAAGCTCAAGAGAAATATTGTAAGTCAGTTATATAACTATGGTGAATGGATATTTATTTCGCCAAAACATTTCAGTGACAGACCAACTCTGTACTAGCACACATACATGTGTGTGTTTGATATAGTATGAACAGATAAAACTGCTTAATACCATAAACCTGGCACAGGTCTAGAAAAAGCCATCATTAGTATAAAAACTTTGCTATAAAAATACAGTGAAGCTCTTGTTTAAAAAAAAAGTTCAGATTCCTCAACACTGTCATGTTAAGTCTAGAGATAAAACCTAGGACTACTACTGCCTTTAAAATGGTCTATGACTTTTATTACAGTGTTTGCAATACATTTAAGAACAATTTTTTAAACATATGGCAGACACAAGTCTAGTGGCTGCTGTTAAGTCTCCCACTTTCTGGTTCCTTGTGCTATTTCATTCCATTTTATAAGAGAATTTGGAGTTCACACCCTGAATCAACCTTCAAACAGTTCACTATTTTTTAAGATAATTACCCACCATTAGTTTATCTCCTACCTATGCTGGACATAAAGAACTTTACTGCGTAGAAGCTAGCAATCAACTACTTTGGACCTAAACAATAAGTACTCAACTACCAAGATATAAGCTCCTTTAAGGTAAAACATAGCAGGTTTTAAGTCTACCAGGCACTGCATACCTGTCAAGTGCTGGTTAGAGCATGCCAGTTTAAAACAAGGCTTCATTAGCACATTACTGTTAATAGGCTTGCTATAGAACTACAGGTTATTAAACGCTGAGAAACTTTAAGGCAGAATTTGCTGCTCTGTATCATAACAGTGCCAAAGAATCTCTGCTCTTACAAAATTCATCACCTTCTTACAGTGCTATCCTGTATAACCTTTGAACACAGGATTGCCCTCCTAGTTTTCCCAAAGAAAAGCAGGATTGAAGAACAGCAGTACATAACCCTGTAATGTAGAATTTTGGTCCCAATAAATACAGGACACTGTATCCCTGTCCTTCACATTCCTTCCTCTAGAGCACCAGAAAGGAAGGAAATTGTTTCTTGGCTAGAAGCACACAAGTAAAGAAACAGATCTGGGTGGTTGGGTTGTTGGTTTTTTAATGCAGTGTCCACAAAAACACTATACACATTAGTAGTAAAGTTAGTTCCAGTGAGAAACTGCAGACTTCATTTCATGAAAAACATTAAATCTGAACTGCCACAGTAACTAACTCAACTGACAACAGTGTACGTAAATCTTAGAAATACTTCTAATTTACCCTAGGCTTTACTGATTGTTCGCTGGTGCAGGGAGATGCCTCCTTGTATGTATACCAACTGTATGTTTTGAGATAGTAGCTATACTTAAACTTCTAGTCTATAAACAGATAAATATTTAATATTTTATTTTAGAGAATAGAAGTAGAGCATATAATGCAGTAGGAGCAAGTCAACATTTAGACGTTAGTCACTTCAATAATACCAACATGAATGCTGAATAGCCCAACAAGGTCGAAATTGTAACAAATGTCTTATTAACTAGTATCCTTACAGGAACAACATTGTAGTTGCCCTTAAACTGTCCCACTTTAAATACTACTTAAAAGTTAAACGCTCCATTATTATCTAACCAAACACATTGCTTCAGATTTTCAGAAGAATAGTTGCTTCTTCTACAAGTTAGGTTTCTCATGTGAGAAATCTTAAAAAAATGATTATACTTTCCTTACAAAACAAACCTCTCTAACAGGCTATGAATCTTTCTTTTTTAAACTAAACTTGTGATAGCTTATGGAAACAGTAGTGTGCAACAGAAAAACTGGACTGGTAAGCAGAGTACTTGTCCCATTTTCAAGTTGAACCTAGGAGAATGACATCCCTCCACTTAAAAGGAAGTCAAGCAGATTACTACACAATAGCATTATTTACTCCAGATGGTATTCTCTTCCTTTTAAGTACTGTCCGTGTGCTGACCACATAAAGCTAAAGCAAGCAAGCAGATATTTTGCTCTCATATTGTTTTATCAGTTCAAATGAGATTACACAATCGGGGACTGTATAATTATACTAACAAGGTGTTCTACCTGTACAAGCTGAACTGTGATTCAGAGTACACCTAGACTAAGGTGGAGTATTGTCAAGTACATAATTCTGAAAGAATACCATTAACTTTCTTCCCCCAAACATTCTTTCTTTACCTTTTTCTTTCTCTACTATTAGCTACTTTCATTGCTCTTACATAATACAAGCTTCAAATGGTCCAGATTTAGTAACATGTAGAGCCCTGACAAGGTCATGCTTCAGTACATCATCAGGGCCCAGCAGGTGTTAGGCAATCTGAAGGAAGATCATGAAAAAAAGTTGGACTTTTTTCTTTAAGAGTAGTACATGTGACAAAAAATACTGCTATAATGAGGTTGCTAAAGCTCCCTGTGCATGGATAGGTATGGAGAAGCTGTAATCACTGATCTTAATGAAAACGTAGATCAGTTGCCAGAGTACTGCTTCTGAAGCCTCTTGAGAAGCCACAGTGTCTAAGGCACACTTGCAGAGAAAACAGACTATACAGGAAGGAAAAAAAAAAATGCCAGTGATGGGAGACACAAAGACATGACGCAATAAGCGATCAGAGCTCAGTGGAAGAAAAGAATCTCTCAAACACAACTTCAACAATTTGAAGGTTCAAAACAATTCAAACCTACACGTTGGTCAGAATTAATCCTACTGGTATACTAGAGTAGCTAACATGGTGGGATTAACTAGGTCACTAAAGAGCAAGTCAGAAAATTCTATTTGTGAGGGCGGTTTTTCCAAGCAGTTCTGCTACCCTGCAGCAAAGCAAGTTCCATGAAGTAATTCCATGGCCCATTGATAATCTAACAAAATCAATCCCTTGCCTTGCTTTGTTTTCAGAAGCATGAGTTTTGGCAGGAATACTCTGTATAGTGCAGTTGGCAGTGAATTTACTCTTTGTTCTATGACAACTTTCACATGCTGTTCACAAATTGGTATTTGGTGTTATTTGCTGCTAGATTTCAGAAGACTCAAGGAAAATCTGGTGATACATATTTAACTTGTAACCCTTTAAGAGTAATCACCTGTCAAGGTTTTACAAATACAGTAGGAAAACCACTTAGGGCAACTATTATGAATAATTGAAGTCACAAATACACCTCACAAATTTCAGTCAAAAGTATCAGCTATAGGTAACAGCTTTAACTTGCAAAGTAATTGAGCGAAAGCAACAGGAAAAGTTAAAAAATATTTTTTAAACCATTATTTTACTTGCTAAAATGTTATTGCTTCCTTTGCTTGTTTCCTTGCATTTGCTCCTTGAAGTAGTGTAGCATGGTCAAATGTCATCTGAGACTAGCACTTTTTCCAGGTGAGACATTTTTGACCTACGAGTTAACCAGCCTTCAGTAGTAACAGCCTCAGGGTTCTGGATGTAGCTTTAAAAACTTCTTCCAATCCATCATTTATGCCAGTTAAACTAGAACTGTAACATGAATTCTTTACCATTTAAAGAATAAAGCTCTAAAGTCTTAAAGACATCCCTAATAAAAAATAAAATTAAAAATGCTTTGGTGAGCACAGGAACTTATTAAATGTTCAACACAAATTTAGAGGCTAAGCTGCAGCCTCTCATCTAACCCCCTTGCTGCCAATTAAGGTCTTAAGGTTTCTCAAATTCCACTTTTGAAAACCAAAGTAAAAGGGACTAGAGTACTTCTGCACAAGATGCTCAAGTGCATCTCGTACTACAGCTGAGGATCAGACAGACTATGTTTATCAGCAGTCCTTACCTTTCTCTGAAGGATGCTACTGCCAGTTCTCAACCTGGAATACTACAAAGATTAATGAAACTTCTCTTTCCTTCCTCAAGATGAGGTGGAGAAGCAAAGTCATCCTCTCACTAGCACTTACTTCCACAGCAAGACGTATATACTCCACTACCCTTGTAATGTATTTGCACTGTTGAACATGCAAGAAGAGAGGGTAAATACAGGTCCTGAAGTAACTTGGTCACTTTTTCTCAAAGGAAGTGGTATAGATGAAGCAATTTTTGTAGATCTTTCTTCAAAATGTAAACTAACTTCTTCTCAGTCCCCTTGATATAGATAAGCAGGCTCCATATGAAGTCATCCACACCAGCTTTGCAACTAACAATTTTTAGTTTCTTATTTTACAAAAAAAATTGAAAACCATAAGATTTGAGAGGAAAAACTTACCTCTAATGCCAGTGCAGTCTTGTCATAAGCACAGGGTACTCTCTTTTGGATAGCTTTGGCATAGACTGGTCCATTCTGTGTTGATGGCAGAGGATTGATCACTGCTCCAGGTGTACTAGATACCGAGGGAAGGGGACTTGCGGTTTGAGGCTGAGCATACGCATGGGCAGGCTCTGGAATACCGTAACTGTTGGAATTTCTGTTTCCATGCTTTCCATGAGATCTGATTAGCTTTTCTACATAAGGAACAGGAATCATCCCAATCCGACCATCCTTGTTTCTGGCGCTCCACCACTGTTCTTCTGGCTTCTCTACAATCACCAGTATCTCGCCCTTTTTAAATGGAAGATCCTCAGCATCATTACCAGGAAAGTCATAGAGAGTCCGAACATACTCCACATTTTCTTCTGCAGTGGACATAGCAGGGGCAGATCCAGATCCCATTGGTGGACTTGGGTACCTAAGTTTAAAAAGATGTGGTATAAGCAATAGCTATTGTTTTGTATTTCCAGTAACAAAGCTAAGTACCAGTTTAACAGTAGGAACAACAATTAGAGGAGAATTACTTATTGAGCTTTCTAACAAAAGTATTGGTTTGGTAGCACTGTGAGGCATTTCACAAGTAACTCATGCTCTCATGTAATTACTTAAATACCCAAATTAGCTTCCCCAGAAACCCAATAAAAATCTATCATGGATGCAGGAAATTGGGAGAAGTAATGCAAAATCTTCATCCACCTATTCTGGATCATTGTGAGGATCTTAGGGTAGAATAAAATTAATTCTGTAGCTTAAGTTATTAGAGTCAAATACATCAAACCAAACTGAAATTATTTGGGTGAATTAGCTAAGAGCCCTTCCACCCTAAATAATCCTCTACAGTTCATTGTATTTACATTTTTTAACTTCATCATCCACTTCTAAAGAATTCAGCAATTCTAAGTGCTAGACTTAAGGCAGCATAGTGGAAAAAGGGAACAAAAGCAAGAGGAGGGTATGATAAACACAGTTTTCTAACTCAGAGCTACAAGTCCAGTGTTGTCTTTCTGGTTGGTAGGACATCATGTTTCTAACTGAACCCTACTACTTACATGCAGAATTTTGGGGAAAGCCAGTCACATTTACACTGAAAATTCCTTTCTTTAAAAAGAGATAGGCAGATCCTGTGTTTTTAGGAGACAATGCTTTCCCCCTCTTTTCTGGAAAGTAATATGGAATTAAGCTCCCTAATCTTACTTTTACAACTTCAACTCTCAAAGGGTTGTTACAACAGAAAAAATATTAGTTTCAAAGTACTTATTTTTACTGCATATTTAAATACCTAATAACCTAGAAGTGACATCTTCATAAAAGACGATATGAAATACTTGTATCCACTGGTAGGAATGAAACAAGAAATTAAAAACCTTGCCATCTAGAAATATTCATTTGTCTTAACCATAATATTAATTCTAATATATTTACATCATTATTTATTACTATGTCCATCATCTGTCCAACACAGTCATTTCATTGTCTGTGAGAATACAGAAGATTGTTCATCAAATGAAACTATTTTCACTGTAATCTATTTTCATCATAAATTTTATATCTGATTCAAAGCAGCTGTCAGAAATCTTAACATATATAGGCCATAGCAGATACTTATTATCTAAGTTACAATAGCAAGAATGTATGTCATTAACCTACTTCAATTCTCTTTTGCTACTTGCAAAATAAGATGGAAGTCAAATCCCTGATTTTTGCAAGATATGCCAGAAGCCCTAAACAGGAAGATATATGCTTAAGACACCCTGCTGCAAGCCAAAGCAGGGAGAGAGAGAGAACCCTTCAGAGAGCAGTCACTGCATAAGCAAGAGCTCAGGAACATCTGCAACGATGGTCAGAACTCACTAATGACACAAAACACAGAAAGCTTAAACCAGTCAGTTTTCAACTGTTTTACAAGTTTAAAATCTCATCTCTGAGAGCTAAAAGTGTTGTATGGCTTTATGCAATGAACTACTTAATCCTACAATGAAAACCACCTCTTCATACTGTACTTCATGAAATTAAAAGAATCAACATCCTTCAAAAGCTCAAGCACCTGCACGCAACATTTCCCAGAGAAATAAGAATTCGCAACAGTTCTGAAGCATGTATCTGTCCCCCCTATTCTAAATCCAGTCCACTAACTAAAAATAAAGAAAAAAAAAATCCGGAAATGCTACCTCTCATCCTCCCTCTTGCAGCAGAAGTCTCCTTCAAACAATTTCAAACCATCAACCATGTAAATGATTTTTTTTTTTTTAAAGAGTTTAGAATAAAAATCATGCTAATGAAAACCACCTAGTCAATTCCATTTGTTGCTTTATAAAAAACCTTGTCAGTTCATGGTAGGCTAGGTCCCATCCATCTCTGTATGCTGCGAGAACAATATGCAATCAAAACCTTGAAAATAAGGTGGTACTGTAAAATGTTCATAAAATGTTTACATAAAATTCCTAATAAATATGAAGTGAGCAAGTGGAATCAGCTAAGTTTTCAAGTGTTTTGAGAAGGCCAAGTCAGTCATTGCCATGAATGATTAAGAACAAGTTTTAACTTCCAGAAAGGCACAACAGTATCCAGGTTAAGCAGAAATGAGATAAGCATACAGATTGCTTCAGTGTAGACATTTTTCCTCCCAACTGTCCACAAGTTTAAGCATGTACATACACTGGGCAGCTCCATTTAAGTGTTACTGCAATGGTGAAAGTGATTCTTTTAAAATTTTTTTTCACCTACCCATCTTTCTAGCCACAGCACAATTACTACCCAGAAGACTTCTCAGCAACTTCAAGAGTTCTTGAAGCTAGTGCTTTCTGTCACATCTTTCCCATCACCTGACAGCTTTACAGAAAGATTTTTTGACCCACCTGAGTTTTTCAAATTGACAAGCTATTGTCAACCTTTGCCAAGTTGCTGATTGTCATTAAGAACTGGCCTATGTCAAGGTTAAATCGTGACTATAAACCTCAAAATTATTCTCTCCCACCTTAAGAACTTGCTAATCTGCAAAATATAGTAAGATTTTTGAACTGCAGAGTTTAGAAGCAAACCAATTTGAATTTCTTTTTTTAATGTGTTGCTACTTTTCTAGCTTTTATTTCACTTCATTTTATCCAGGAAGCCCAGAAGCTTTAAAATCAGATACTAGGAAAGCTTTTTATTAATTAAAAATAAGGAGTATGTTCTAGAGCTCTTGATAAGCAGCTTACTGATGCAAGTTGCAGGTATGTCCCATGCTAGGAACAGGACAAAGAATGAGCTCATAGCCAAGTCATATTTTCCCATACTCCTAGAATAGCATTTCCCAGTGTAGTCCATGCAGTATGCAGATACAGATGAGAAATGTTTTACATTTTTTGGGGGGTGGAAATGCTGCTCTAAAAGTCTGGGAAATGCTGTCCTAGAATGTATTAAAGCTGACTTAACAGGGTGAAGCAGTCTGATCACATAAAGGCCTGTTCTATTGTAAGCAGTGTGGATGCAGGGACAGACAGCAACTTAAAGCTCAGAGGCTGTGCTTCAATCACTGAAGGGAAGACTTGTGAACCAGCTTCTCAACCATGCTAGGAACAGGACAATACCAGCAGAAAAGGCTGACACAACATATGACCACACCCTCTCGCAAGGCAATTATAGTCGGTGGTGGAGATGTACATGCTACCTTTACATATATGTACACACACTGTAAGGACAGGCGCCATGCACTATATGGGTGATTTGACTGAAAAAGCAACCTGTAATGGTCATGGAGATCCAGAGTGTGAAGAAGCACCGTCAGAAACAGCTTAAAACGAGGGCCGTAAACAAATAGTTCCTCAGTACACACAGCATGGCCCTACGTGCAGTGTCAAGACCCTGGAGCTACTGGGCTCGAGTAAGACGCCCTCCCGCCTCGTGCCACCTCGATCACAGATGGCAGGGGGTGGGGCGGGGGGAGGGTGGCACTTACCTGGGCGCAGGCTCGATGAGGGTGGTGGTGTCCAGGTAGTGGATCTTGTAGAACTCCAGCAGGGCAGGCAGGTGCTCAAACTCCTGGTCGCCGATCTTAAAGCGGCGGTTGGGCAAGGAGTTAATGATGTAGTGGGAAACCCGAGAGTTCTCGGACACGGAGAGCACGTAGTCCCCCGGGCAGGTGGACGAGTCCCGCACCAGGAACATGCCATGCCGCTGCCCCTGCAACCGCGTCTGTGCCTCCGCCCGAGACACCGGGCCCACGTACCAGCTGGAGCGGTCCGATGAATCGAAACGAGCGGCGGAGGACATGGCTCAGGGCGGGGAAGGGGAAGGGAGGGGGGGAAGGAAGGGGAAGAGCCCGAAGGCCCAGGCGCAGGAAGAGACCCGGAGAAAGGAAGGCCTGGGCAAGGAGGCCTGGGAGGCGGAGCGGGCTGGGGGCTAGGAGAGAGCGGCTAGTGCCCAGCCCAGCAGAGAGGAAGCCCGGGGAAAGGGGGATAAGCGAGAAAGAAGCTCCGTGTGCCTCTGGAGGCGGAGGACCGAGGAGCGGCTGGGGTGGGGCTGGCCAGACGCA